ATAGATTGTCCAGTGCCAAATGGTCAGCCCTGAGAACATACATGTAAATAACATTATACAGACTAAACAGGTTATGTTTAGGAATATATACATAGCTGTACATATATGCATGCAAAAAAGAGGCCATGACATTGAAAGAGAATGAGAGGAGTGATGAGGGGTATATGGGAAGGTTTGGAGGGAGGGAAAGGAAGGGAGAAATGTTGTAATTATATAATAATTTCAAAAATAATTTAGAAAAAGATTATACATTAAATACAAGTAGGTTTCATCCCATGAAGGTAAGGTTGGTTCCACATATGCAAATCAAAAATGTAATACACCATATAAATCAATTTAAGGACAAAAGCCACATATCATTTCAATTGATACTGTGATGGCACTTGATAGAGTCCAATGTACCTTCATGATAGAAGTTCTTTATGAATAGATGGAACATACCTACAAATAATAAAGGCTATCTATATACACAAATCTATAGCTAATATTAAATGAAGAATAACAGAGAATTTCTTCTAAAATCCGGGTCAAGGATTTCAATCTTCACAATCTTAGTGATATAGTGCTCAAAGTCTTAGGTATACCAATTAGAGAAAAGAAAACTGATAAAAATAGGAAAGGAAGAAGTTAACCTATCCTATTTGTAGGCTACATGATTCTTTACTTAAAAGGCCCTACTAGTTCTCAAGCATGAACTTTATAGATGACAACACTGTGTCAGAATGCCAGAAGACTGGACACACCTGGGAATGAGTTTACAGCATAACAACTTAGTAAGCTACAAGACTTGATCAGAAGAAAAAAGCAATCTTACATCCTGTATTAAACAGCCTAAAATAAATCCTTAAACTATATCATATGAAATCTGTCTATATCAAACAAATTATTTGAAATGACTATCAGACTGTGTTCACAAATAAACAGTTAACATTATCCCTCAGCCTACTGGAAAGGATGTTACAAACTATAGTCATGGAATATGTTGTTGCAATGCTGTTGATATTTCAGGAATCCCATTGGGAAGATTTACTATATGTTTTTAGTGCACAGTTTATCCTTCTCATACTGGACCCAGAAAATCCACAACTACATTTTTATCAGTTTACAATAAGATTCCTAAGACTGCATACTGTGTATTTATTATTTATCATTTTTTTAAATTTTAAAACAATCTCTTCTCAGTTTACATACCAATCCCAGGTCCCATTCCCTCCCCTCTTCCTGTTCCCCACATTCTCCCCACCCCATCCCATCCACTCCACAGAGATGGTAAGGCATGGGGAGTCAATGCCCTCCAAGGCCCTCCCCACTATATCTAGGCTGAACAAGGTATCCCTACAAAGAGAATGGGCTCCAAAAGCCAGTTCAAGCACTAGGGATAACCCCCAGTCCCACTGCCAGTGGCCCCACAAACTGCCCAAGCCACACAACTGTCACCAACATTCAGAGGGCCTAGTTTGGTCCTATGCAGGTTCCCCTGCTGTCAGTCCAGTGTCAGTGAGCTCCCACTAGCTCAGGTCAGCTGTTTCTGTGGGTGTCCCAAAAATGGTCTTGACCCCTTTGCTCATATTTTCGATCCTCCCTCTCTTCAAATGGACTCTGGGAGCTTGGCCCAGTGCTTAGCTGTGGACATCTGCAGCTGCCTCCATCAGTTGCTGGATGCAGGTTCTAAGATGATAATTAAGGTAGACATCAATCTGATTAGAGGGGACGGCCAGTTCAGACACTCTCTCCACTAATGCTTAGGGTCTTAGCTGGAATCCTCCTTGTAGGTGCCTGGGAATTTTCCTAGTGCCAGGTTTCTTGCCAGCCATAATCACCCCTTCTATCAAGATATCTCTTTCCTTGCTCTCCCTCTCTGTCCTTCCCCCATCTTGACCATCCTATTCCCTTGTGTTCTCCTCTCCACTCCCTTTCTCCCCTCTCCCTTCCCTGTTGGGACCCATAAAGATGGGTCCACTTCATCTTGCCTCAAGGTCAGAGACTTCAAAACTGTACTTAGTAAGTCTAAAGACCTAAAGGTCTAACACTTGCCTAATGCAGGATGTTTAGACTTTGGTAGTGGATGTCCTATCTAAATAACAAAAGACTTCAGCTCAGTTGTATTTACTCTTGACCCTGAAAGCAGGATAACAAGTGTAGCTACCAAATACCTGGAGGATTAAGGGAATTAAGTCTGTTTGCTCCTTATGCATGATAATAGGAGTCTTCTGCCATGTCCCCCTTTTTTGGTTGGGTACTTAGAATGTTGAATTTGAATATTAAACTAGAGGCATTCAGTATTCACTGGATTGCCCTCCTGACTCTATTCTGTCTCTGCCTGTCTTTCTCTTAAAGTCTTTACCTACTCTTTCTCAATCCACACTCCCCCTTTCAGGTACTAACCTGGCAAGTCAGCTGGCCCCAACTATAGCCCCACAAAGACAGCTTCCCACACTCCCTTCTTCCCCCACCACCATGCTCCCAATTTTCTCAGATCTTTTCCATTTCCCCTTCCCAGGGGGATATATGTATGTCTCTCTTAGGGTTCTCCTTGTTACCTGGTCTACCTGTTATTCTTTTGCTAAAAAAAAAAAAAAAGGCGCAAGATGGGACATGAGAACAAGAGATACATTAACCATAGTTTATTATAGGGCAGGAAAGTGAGAGAGAGAGAAATGGAAGAACAGAGCAAGGCAAAGAGTAAGAAAGAGGAGAGAGAGGTTGGCCACTGGAAAGAGAGAGCATTAAGTGGGCAGGGGTCTGTCTTTTAAAGGGGTCCTCTACACCTGTGTGCAGACTCAGTTCCCATGGACCCTGGGCTGATCAGGGTACTGCCTGAGTGGATTCTGCCAGGTAACAGGGGCAGGTCAGCATAATGCCTAACCTTTCAATACCCAAACTGGGACACTATGAACACAGTGCTAAGAAGAAAGTTCATAGCACTAAGTGCCTACATAAAGAAAGTGGAGAAATCTCACACTAACCACTTTACAGCACACTTGACAGCTCTACAACAAAAAGAAGCAGACTCACCCAAGAGGAGTAGACGACAGGAAATAATCCTACTGTGTATTTATATACACATCCAAATAAAGGGCTCAGTCTGCTATTTTTCCTATGACAGTTACCTTTATGTGTTAAACAAATTGGAACAAGTGACTCTCAGATTAAACATGTTTGAAAGGGTGTTTCTGGATATTACAACAGATGTAACTGATATCACCAATTGTCTACATGTTACAAAACAGGTATTAATAATTCAGTAATTATGTTGTCATGTTGGGAAATTTCTTACACTGAACCTTCTGGTAAGGTATGAAAATCTGGATTGTGCCCAAGGAAAAGACATTCTTTAAAATAAATGTGTATTTTATCAGGTTGTAACTAAATCAAAACACTCAATCTGTAAAATAAGAAAAATATCTACTTTTGCAATATTGGTAGTAGTGTAAAGGGCCTTTTGGTCATTGACTAAGATAAAAGCAGTAAGAGATACTTTTTAAGACTCAAGTAAGTACCAGAAAGCAACAATTACAAGCTTGAGAAATACAGAAAATATTCTTTATAATTATGTAAACACTATTCAAATATGACAAAAAGAACATTACAATCTTGAATAATAGTTCGGTTATGTCCCCTCAAAAATGATAAATATTGAAACCTTTATCCTCAGTATCTTATAATAAGACTTTACTAGATGTTAAAACCTTTGTATAAGTATTAGAGTTTGAAATCATTAAAGTATGCATATGAAATCATTAAAGTATAAAATATTATTGGCATTGAGCGGAAATAAGGTACATATACATAGAAAATACCACATTTAGATGAAAGCTGAAATCAAGATATTTCTACAAGCCAGTCAATACAAAAGTTAATAACAAATCACCAGAAGTTAGGGCAAATCATTGAACACATGATTTCACATAACATATGAAGGAAACAATCTTTGATCTCAGACGTCTGTCCTACAAAACTAAGAGACAATGACATTTTCTCATTTACTTTATTCTGTTTATGATGCCTACCTAGTACATAAGCCATATCAAACAAAGACAATGTGGAATTATAAAATAAAAAACACTTCATTGAAGAAAATTTCTATTTGTTATCAAAAATCTTCAGGGTCATACTATCAGATAATTGACCCTGGGCTATCCTTTCAGAGAGATCAACACACATAAACACACACACACACACACACACACACACACACACACCTCAAAGAATTTAACAATTACTTGTAAATGCAATATGTTTACATTTCTTGTTAATATTTCAGAATATTCTACTATGCATTATTCAGAAAACGAAGTTGAAAACATAGAAAGCAAGAAAGAGCCAGCTCCTATTAAATGGGAATATTTAATCTAACCTTGATCACCATTTAGAATACACATTCAAAGAAAAAAATTAAAATATTGCCAAATAGGGCCAGTTTTATTCCAAAACACAATACCATTATTACATATTTAATTATAAAGACTAGTTAAGAAACAGTATGTCCAAGTTAGTACACACATCTTTGAATTATGAGGAATCATTACTTCTGTTCTTTGTGTCCAAATGTTTTCTAATTGTAATGGTCATTTTTACTTTTTATTTATATGAAAATATACTTTGGAAATAATTTAGAGATATATTTTATACTATCATAAATTAGTAATTGTTTAAAAAATTACAAAGAAACCAATCTCCAAAAGACTAATCCTGTGAGTGTCTCAAACTAATGTAGCATAGAGGAGACATTCAAAGGATAAAAATGTACAATACTGACAAATAATGCCAGTTTTATTTCAAAACAGCAATACCATTATTACATATTCAATAATACAGAGCAGTAAAAATTCAGTATTTCCAAGTTAATGCTAATTCCTTCATAATTAACTTTTCTCCCAAAACTTGTTCCATTATGGTAAAAAACTAATTGAATCACAATGAGTGGTCAGACTGGATTAGATTATGAAAAAGCAGCCTCCTCAGCCAAACTCAAAGATAAATATTTTTAATACACTTACCACTTTCAAAGCAAGCATCAAAGGTAAGATGTCCTTTCTTGGGTTGTCCGGAGTATCCATTTGGAAGCACAATGTATTTGCTTACATTCCCTCCAATGGGATCGTCATTTACTGTATCATTGCCTATTCAAGAAAAAGACTAGTATTAAACAGAAATCTAAGTGTATTTTGCAATAGAAATCCAATAATATGAGGATATAATTTGAAGTATAGAAGGGTTGAAATCTTACCTCTATCACATACTAACACTGGGCCCTCTAACAATAAAAAAAGTGAAGTATAAGTTCATCTTGAAGGCTGTTCTCTATTTAGATTTAAAGCTATCTAGCATCACTCCCAAAATCTAAAATATGTTCATTGAAACTGAATAAGCTCATTAATAATTGTTATTGTAATTTATAAAAAAGTATGTTGTTTTTCTATGAATGAGGCACTTCTTCTATAAACATCACCACAGGGTCTTCCTGTTCCACCACCAAAATAATCTGAGAACTGAAAGTCTAATTCTTCAGAAGTTACTTCTACTTCAGATATAGAAAAATGAAATGTATATTGCCTGCAACAAGAGAAGTCCCAAAAAAACACAAAACCATAACTTTCCCAAATTTACCACCGAACTGGGACTGCAAGGCAAGACAGGGCAAAAACGTACTCAAGATGTATTATATATTTGTATAAAAATATCCTTATGAAAACCAGTACCATGTACAATAAATGTACCCCAATTAAAATACACTATGTAAAAAACAAACTAAATCAAGCAGATATTGGAATTACCATGTATTTTTTAATTAAGGCTAATATATTGAGGCAGTGAGATAAAAATCTTCGGGAATGAGAATTTCTTCCTAAACAAAAATATGGTTTCTTTTTTTTTCCAACTTTTTTATTTGAATTAGAAACAGGATTGTTTTACATGACAATCCCAGTTCCCTTCTCCCACCCATCTTCCCCTACCGTCCCCCCACCAACTAAAACCCTACCTATCACATATCCTTTCTGCTCCCCCTGGATGGCGAGGCCTTCCATAGGGTGTCATCAGAGTCTATCTATCCTTTGGGGATAGGGCCTAGGCCCACCCCTGTGTCTTGGCTCAGGGAGTATTCCTCTATGTGGAATGGGCTCCCAAAGTCCACACCTATGCTAGGGATAAGTACTGCACTTCTATAGGAGGTCCGTAAATTTCCGAGGTTTCCTCACAGAAACCCATGTTCCTGGGGTCTTGATCAGTCCCATGCTGGTATCCCAGCTACCAGGCTGGGGAGCAAGAGTTCCCGGATATTCAGGTCAGCTGTTTCTGTGGGTTTCACCAGCCTGGTCTGGACCCCTGTGCTCTTCACTCGTCCTTCTCTGCATCTGGGCTCCAGTTCAGTTCGGTGATTAGTTACGGGTGTCTGCTTCTACTTCTACCAGCTGCTGGATGAGGGCTATAGGATGGCATATAAGTCAGTCATCAATCTCATTATCAGGGGAGGGCATTTAAGGTAGCCTCTCCTCCATTGCTTAGACTGTTAGCTGGTGTCATCTTTGTAGATCTCCAGACATTTCCCTAGTGCCTGACTTCTCTGTAAACCAAAAATGTCTCCCTCTATTATGATATCTCCATTCTTGTTATTATCTATTCTTCCCCTGACTCAAACTTTCTGCTCCCTCATGTCCTCTGCATCCCTCTTCTCCCCTTCTCATTCTCCTAGCTCCCTCCCCCTTTCCCGAGCTCCCAATTTGCTCAGCAGATCTTGACCCTCTCCCCTTCTCCAGGGGACCATGAAAACTATGGTTTCTTGAGGTAGAATCTACATGTTGTTTGTGTTTATTGTTTTGTTTTTTGACACAAGGTCTCTCTATATAACATTGGCTGTCCAGGAACTCTATGTAGACCAAGATGACCTGTAACTCACAGAGATCCTTCTGCCTCTCTATCACAAATATTATACAATGCTTATGAAAATGTCAATAATTTATAAGTATTTCTTTTTTCTCAGTTTCCTAAAATATTTTTAAACTTGACTTTTTATATTAAAACAATCTTTTCTCATTTTACATACCATTCCCAGGTTCCACCCCCTCCCCTCCTCCCACTTTCCCCACCTTACCCCCACCCACCCTATAAGCTCCTCAGAGAGGGTAAGGCTTCCCATGCCGAGTTAGCAAAGTCTGGCACATCCTTTGAGGCAGAATCGAGGCCCTTCCCGATAATTCTAGTTTGAACAAGGTATCCCTCCAAAGAGAATGGGCTCCAAAAGCCAGTTCAAGCACTAGGGATAAATCCTGGTCCCTCTGCCAGTGGCCCCACAGACTGCCCAAGCCACACAACTGTCACCCACTTTCAGAGGACCTAGTTTGGTCCCATGCAGGTTCCCCTGCTGTCAGTCCAGTGTCAGTGAGCTCCCAATAGCTCAGGTCAGCTCTTTTTGTCAGTATCCCCAAAATAGTCTTGACCCCTTTGCTCATATTTTCGATCCTCTCTCTCTTCAAATGGACACTGGGAGCTTGGCCCAGTGCTTAGCTGTGGACATCTGCAGCTGCCTCCATCAGTTGCTGGATGAAAGTACTATGATGATAGTCATCAATCTGTTTACAGGGGAAGACAAGTTGATGAACCCTCTCCACTAATGCTTAGGGTCTTAGTTGGAATCATCTTTGTGGATTCTTGGGAATTTTCTTAGTGTCATGTTTCTCACTAGTCCTGTAATGACTCCCTCTTTCCTTGCTCTCCCTCCTGTTCTTCCATCTCGACCATCCAGTTCCCTCACATTCTCCTCCCACCTCCCTGCCTCTCCTTCTACTGTCCCTTCTCCCATTATACTCCTAATTTTCTTAGGAGAACTTGTCTATTTTCCCTTCCCAGGTGGATTCATGAACGTCTCTATTAGGGATCTACTTGTCACTTAGCTTATCTGGGGTCATGGACTTTAGGCTGATTATCCTTTGTTTTATGTCTATTATCCACTTGTGAGTGAGTATATACAGTTTTTGTCTTTCTGGGTCTGGGTTACCTTACTCAGGTTATTTTTTTCTACTTCCATTGATTTGCCTGTAAATTGTTTTTTACTACTGAGCAGTACTCCATTGTGTAAATGTACCACATTTTCTCTATCCATTTATTAGTTAGGGCATTTAGGTTGTTTCCAGGTTCTGGTTATTACAAATAGATGCCTTTGCAGTATGAGAGTGTGTCCTTTGGGTATGGTATTGCTGGGTCTTGAGGTAGATTGATTCTCAATTTTCTGAGAAACCACCATACTGATTTTCAAAGTAGCTGTACAAGTTTGCATTCCCACCAGCAGTGGAGGAGTGTTCTCTGCATCCTCTCTAGCATAAGCTATCATTGGTGTTTTTGATCTTAGTCATCCTACTTGAATAAGATAATATCTCAGAGTTGTTTTGATTTGCATTTCACTGATGGTTAACGATGTTGGACAATTCCTTAAATGTCTTTCAGTCATTTGAGATTCTTCTGTTGAGAATTCTCTGTTTAGATCTGTACCCCGTTTTTTTTTAATTGGATTATTTGGTAGTTTTGTGTCTAGTTTCTTGACTTCTTTATGTATTTTGGAGATCAGACCTCCATCAGTTACGGGGTTGGTGAAGATCTTTCCCCATTCTGTAGGCTGCCATTTTGTCTTGTTGTCTGTGTTCTTTGCCTTACAGCAGCTTCTCAGTTTCAGGACATCCTATTTATTAATTTTGTTATCAGTGTCTGTGCTACTGGTGTTATATATGGGAAGTGTTCTTCTGTGCACATGTGTTCAAGGCTACTTTCCACTTTCTCTTCTATGAGAGTCAGTGTGGCTGGAATTATGTTGAGGACTTTTATCCATTTGGACTTGAGTTTTGTGCAAGATCTATTTGTATTCTTCTACATGTTGATGTCCAGCTATCCCAGCACCATTTGTTGAAGATGTTTTGTTTTTGCCATTTTATAATTTTAGCTTTTTGTCAAAAATCAGGTGTTCATAGGTGTGTGGATTAATATCAGGGTCTTCACTTTGATTCTATTGGTTTACCTGTCTGTTTTTATGCCAATACCAAGTCAGAGATGGTGATACCTCTAAAATTTTGTTTATTGTACAGGACTGTTTTGACTATCTTGAGTTTTTTGTTTTTCCATATGAAGTTGAGTGTTGTTCTTTCCAGGCCTATGAAGAATTGTGTTGGAATTTTGATGGGATTGACATTGAATATGTAGATTGCTTCTGGTAAGATTGCCATTTTTAATTATGTTAATCTCCTCTATCCTAAGGCATGGAAGATTTTTCCATTTTCTGATATCTTCATCAATTTCTTTCTTTAAAGACTCAAAGTTCTTGGGCTGGAGGGATAGCTCAGCCGTTAAAGGCTAGGCTCACAACCAAAAATATAAAAGACTCAAAGTTCTTGTTGTAAATGTCTTTCAATTCTTTGGTTAGTGTTACCCCCAAGATGTTTTATGTTTTTGTGGCTATTGTAAAGGGAGACATTTCTCTGTTTTTTTTTTTTATCATCCATTCTATCATTTATGCATAGGAGAGCTATTGTTTTTTTTGAGTTGATCTTGTATCATGCCACATTACTGAAGGTGTTTATCAACTGTAGGAGTTTCCTGGTAGAATTTCTGGGGTCACTTATGTATACTATCATATTGTCTGCAAATAGCAAAAGTTTGACTTCTTCCTTTCCAATTTGCATCCCTTTGATCTCCTTTTGTTTTCTTATTGCTCTAGCTAGAACTTTGAGTACTATATTAAATAGATACGGAGACAGTGGACAGCCTTGTCTTGTTCCTGATTTTAGTGGAGTCATTTTGAGTTTCTCTCCATTTAATTTGATGTTGGCTATCAGCTTGCTGTATATTGCTTTTATTATGTTTAGATACATTCCTTATATACCTCATCTCTCCAAGACATTTATCATGAAGGGGTGCTGTATTTTGTCAAGGTTTTTTTTCAGCATCTAATGAGATGATCATACGCTTTCTTTCAGTTTATTTATGTGATGGATTACATTGACAGATTTCCTTATGTTGAACCATCCCTGCATCTCTGGGATGAAGCCTACTTGATCATGATGGATGATTTTTTTGATGTTTTCTTGGATTCAGTTTGCCAGTTTTTATTGAGTATTTTTGAATCAATGTTCATGAGGGAGATTGGTCTGTATTTCTCTTTCTTAGTTGAGTCTTTTTTGTGGTTTGGGTATCAGGGTAACTGCAGCCTCATAAAGAGTTTAGCAATCTTCCTTCTGTTTCTATTGTGTAGACCAGTTTGAGGAGTATAGATATTAGCTTCTCTTTGAAGTTCTGGTAGAATT